GGATCCCACGGGCACTCGGCCACCCAGAAACTGAACCAGCAACTGGTTCTGAGCACGGAGTGCAATAACCTCCATCTCCATTGGAGCCAAGCGCCCCACCGTCGCCTGCAGCAACGCATATGCCTGCTCCACGGCTACGAGTCGCTCCGACAGAGCGCGGTAGTCCTCAAGGCAAAGCAGCCGGTGCACGACGCGCTCCAAATCATCAAGAGCGTCCGCATAGCGATATGTTACTTCAGAATCACGCTCAGCGGAGCTCCGATCACGAAGTGTCTCATCCTCAAGGGCTCGAAGAGCATCACGAGTCACCGGACGGCGGTCGACCCGGTCGTCACCACCCGCCACCGACTCTTCTCGATGAGAACGGTGACGTCCACTATCACGTGGAACGTCTAGTCAGACGACGTCGACGCCAGGGTCAAACCCAATATCTGGTGAAGTGGCGGGGATATCCCGACTACGAAAACTCGTGGGAGTTTGAGGCACCACTTCGGCAAGATTGCCCAGACGCCATGGACGCTTTTGATCAGAAAGAACAGGACGCTTCGCGTCATCAGACGCCCCGCTCTTCCCGGTAATAGCCAGGAAGTAGAAGGGTCATGAGCTAAGCTTGAGCAGTGGCCCTGAGCTTTTGCTTTCGCAGACACAGAGCTCGCGGGAGCGTTAAGGGGTTGACCCATACGTCGCAGGGCGATAATCTGAAGGGAGTCAACGGCGTGCTTTGAGTTTGGCAAACTCAAATCGGGGTGGCGAAAGTTCTCGGTGCCGTTGCACCGATCGCTCAAAGAGCGCTTCGTCATCTGTACCGCTTTCGCTAGGGGCGAGCACTACAGGTATCATTCGCATTGCGGGTACATGAGAGCCACCTCGTTGAGTACGTAGACGAGTGCGATAAACGTCCAACGGAAAATCTTGTAGTACCAAGTATCGATTTCGAAGAGCTTTCCGTTCGACAAGCCCAGCCTTCGTAATGGCCGGGGGCCCGACGATGTCGACGCGTAATGATCGAGTTACAGCATCCTTCGCTTCCACAGCGGGATCCGCCAGGCGGAAGCCATAATTCACACGATGGTCAATGTCTGACCGTGGATAAGCGCGTATCAGAGCCACCTTATGGACAGCTTCCAGCTGCCGCTTCTGTGCATCATTGAGGTCATCGGTGATTACACCACGTCCTTCAGGTGACGAGAACTCAGGAAACGGACATGGAGTCCGCAAAGCGCGAGCAGGGCTCGTCCCACGACGCTGGTGCGGCTCGCTTTCCTCGTCATTCCACCCAGGAAAAAGAGTGTCAGACTCGAAGTTGACCACATCCACATCCCCAACGAGGCCACTCGTCACCATTAGCGTGCGCGGAGCGCGACGCTCGGGCTCATCGAGCCTAGGATTTACATCCCTCGATACCGCGGAGACACGGTACCGACATGGCACCGTGTGCGGGAGATAAAGCTGGACTCTGCCCATGAGCGCTGTCGGAATCAGCGAGACTTGGAGGCTTCAGTGTCATTGACACAGGGATCATTAAGCACGGAAGTCGTTTCGTTTCAACGCAGTGTCTATACATGCAAGCCTCGTAAAGCCAATAATCGATTGGAACTGTAAATGTGTTCAATCAATCTTAATGGGGGAGAGTGTAACGGGGTACCACATTCCCTGGTAACAGGGGTGTGTGTCAAACCAGATGGGCATGGTGTGACCACACCCAAACAAGAATACGATACGGGGATGGATAGCCAGTTGTTACACATGTATTTAAATTTTACTATACATATCTAGGAAAAATTGTGCATTGAAAATTAGGCGGCTTTGCCGAAGATAAAATGAAAAAGTCAGTTTTAAATTGAATCCAAAGAATTAATTAGCCTTGGGTTAAGGCTATAATTACTCTTGAAGTAAGCGGATTGCGATCCGCTAAACTCGTACTTGTTCTAAGTATAGAACGAAAGGTCGGTGACCTAATTTACGCTCCCATTAAGCGCAAAGCTATGCAGCCCCGATGCAATATTAGTTAGGTAAATCTAGAGATTGAGATTTTGGCGGTTCTGCCTTAATTAAAACAATTACATACAATTATGTTTGTGAAGCGAAGTGTTCCTTTGCCTTGGTAAAGCTTTAGTACTTAGAAGTAGCGGATGGCGATCTGCAAACTAGAACTGGCTCTTGGAAAGAACGTAAGGTCGGTGACGTTGGCCTTGCATCCTCTAAGCAGAAAGCTTCGGCAGCCCCGCTGCAGTGAACAAGACACTTCCTCAAATTTATTAAGGAGAAAAGCATCGGCCAACCTTTAGTGGCTTTTTTCTTGTTTCGGAATCTGCCCATCAGCCATATTTCTCTACAAAACAACTAATTCATTATTTATGAGCGCTAAAAAACACTTGTCGATACTGCCGAGCAGGTCATAGAAGCACAACCCCTTCGGCGCTGGTCGCAAGTGCTTGCAATGGCTCCCTACATCTGACATCTCGTGCTTTCACGATCATGGATGCAGATGTTGTCGAAATCGGTTTGTGCACAGAAACGATGTGGGCTAAACAGCTGCGTCACTAGACGATTGCATGTCGCTGATGAATTATACTACATTTTTGGCATAAGGTGCCCTATCCAGAGCATCCCACTTGGAATACTTACCGCAGCTAGATTGACATCACTGTTACTTTGAGCAATTGTTAACGCTCATTACTTGGATCAAAGGCACTTATCAAACCGGTTTCAACCATGATATTCTAGTGAACTAATTTTTCTTGAAATGTATGTTTGTGCCGGAGTCGTGGCTGTAGTTGGGTTGTTACAATTATGCACAACTCGCCTCTTGCCACCAGCCTTTCTGAGACAGAAAGCAAGCTCTGAGTAGATATAGATTTTTTCTCACTAAACCCGCTCAGGAATTTAAACGTTAATAAAGGAACTTACGCTTTCTCGTAATGGTCATTACCGTATTTTGAAGAACTTAGCACCGAGAACAAAGTAAAATTGGATTACGCACTCCCCTATCCAGCCGGCGGTAATAAGCGTGGTGGGGTTCGTATGGTCACGGCGTGATACTTCTTTGAAGGGAATGAGAATTTGATCGATCTTTGAGATGTGCATCTCACTTCTTGCGCTTCAACCATGACAGAAGATGTGATCAATGTTTTCTCCGGTACCAACTATATAGTTTCGGTAACCTCACCGTCTTGCAATTATCGCGCAAGGGGGCTATATGGTGATTCCTCTAGCTCAATGAAAGCTTCTGTTGAAGGTGGTACGAGACAGCTATCATCCTCCAGTCAATCCATTAACGAATGAGCCGCCCAGAGCCACACTGCTCCACGCTGGGGGCCCGTCGCACGATATTATAGCTCAGTAGAGCATTTATATTGTGGTAATGATTAGTCGATGCCATCGATTTTATTATGTGACTCTTTAAAATAAACTTGATACTGTGCTATGGTGTACTTAGACCTATACCTTTTGGTTTGATTGTATCAATTACAATATTTCGAGAGTGTTTAAAATGTACATAGCAATATGTAAAGTTATGGAAAAATCGAATAATTGAAGCATTATTGGTTACTTGAAGATATAAAGATTTCAAAAAATGGAGAAAACATGATACACGTGGGCTACTACCACACGTCAAGTAACAAAATCCGCTTTATCATGAGATATGGTGAACCGGAAAGTCTAAGAAAAATAATTTCAAGCACATGTCTCTCTTGAGCAGCCGACCTTACTATTAGCCACGTCACATTGGGGGAGAGTATTAATTTAGCCTCTGTATGTCCTTAACGCAGACTCGTTAAGTCAACGTTTTGTGAAAATTATCTGGCAGTACCGTTGCACTTGTTAGCATTTATTAATTTAATACCGATTGAGTCAGAAGCGTTATTATATTCATAAATGCTAACAAGTGCAACGGGATCTATGGAACATGAAATGTACGAGTACCTGTCTCCGGGAAAACAAGACGAGCTTTAACAGCATATGTCTACGAGTGGTCTTCACGGCTCCGGAAATCGGCGGCCAAGAAGCCTGACGCGGAAATCACTTGCCTGGAGCATGCAGACATATGCGAATGTTGTGGTGAGGTACGCCACTTGCTCCACCAATGTTGCCTGTGGGTAAACAGGTGGAGCCCACCGTGGCTGCTCTATTGAACGTCCACTTTTCACATAGTCATAGCGGATGAAATTTATACCAATCAATGAAGAGATTTGGAATGGCAATAATTGCGGCCATGTTACGAACGCAACAACAATGTATTGCGTTTGCAGTCCCAAGCTTAGAAGCTTAGCGATTGCGCACGAGAATGGGTAATTATGTGCGGTTTCCCTTTTGCAAGAGATAATTTGAAGAGATAACTGTCTCGGGGGTTCGTACCGCATAACGCGGCTTATAGAGTACGTCTGAATGTCTTGCCCACTCATCATAAGGTAAGAAATAGCCGACTTTGTCGTAATATTAGGTGCTCTTGTCGCCACACTAACGTCAATCTCTGGCGGTCATCTTCTTCACGGAGGATCATCAAGCGAGTGCGACCCGCACCGATACCAAAGTAGACACAGGGCTGCCTACTAAAATCAAGGTACTTTTGTAAATTGAAGCGATCGTGGAGAAATAAGATTTCATTCTAAAATTAAAATCACCTTCTTGGAGTGGTGGGTCTCACAGTCCAGCGTTTTCGATTGTAAAAATCGTCGTTTCGGATTTTGTGGAGCGGTGACAAGTTCTGGTTGATTCAAGGGCGTCGTGCATTACATACAGGGCGCGACTGTCAAAAATTTTACGCAGTAGGCGGAGGCTTTGATGATACCATATACGAATAGGATTATCGTGACTTTATCGACGAGGACACTGGTAAAGTGTCTTAGATTATACATAGTTTTGAAAACTCTGACAGCGTGAACATTGTTTCTGTATCTGATTTGGAATATGATTCATCTTAAGTACGGTGGGACTGAAGCACCAAGAGCTATGAATTAACTAGAAGTGCGAATAGGTAAAGCTCTAGCGGGTCATGTACTCATTACTGCTGTAAAGTAGAAGCTTTTATAGCGCTGGTACGAAGCTGCGATAGGCTCCATGCAGGACTTGACATCGCTTTGATTGATTGCAATGGTATCACCTGGTACCTCAATATTACAGTCTCTAGGACCTGAGCTTGCGGAATTCGAAGAGCGACGAATGTTGAAACCTCAGCCCATGAAGTGAAGTTGCTAGGTGTCACGACATGACAGTACTGCTGAGTCAGCATATTCGTTTGACGGGTCCACTGTACAAATCAGTAAAGCTCTACGGATACGTTGTGAGAAAGATCATTCACTCGTTGGTTGGTAGTCCTAAGAGTTGTAAATCTCTAATCGCTATATTCTGCAAGATCTTAAAGCTGACAGTAATAATTCTAGGGGGTACGTATCGAGATCGTAAGCCGGTGAAGTCATCGAAATGATTCATTGGTACCCAGATTTATCATGGACCTCTCCTCTACGGATTCGTTCCACCTTCACAAATATCGATTCTTCGATACTTATGACTATAAGGCGCGACGTTACTTTTGTATTGAAATATTGTACTATTGTTTGAATATATCTACGTAAAGTACAGAACTTACCCTGTTTCGCTTTCCCCAATATTAGATATAAGCCACTCTGGATAAGAGCTTTTTTAATCCTTAGAAAATTGGGCAAACGTAAGCGCTCGCAAGCAACAACTGGGTTTGGTGTCTAACTTCACAATTTGCACTTTCTGATGCCTGCTGTGTAGAGCATACACGCATCGTACAGCGAGGCCGCCGTAGCTCATGGCTCATAGGAAGTTAAGCTAAGGTCACCGACCTTACATTCTATACTAGAACCAGTCTGAATGAAGCGTATCAAAATCAGCTTACTTCAAGAGTACACATAACCTTAACCCAAGGCAAATACACTGATTCGCTCAAAATTGAAATTGTATTTATTTGTTATCTTTGCGGCAGAGTCGCCTAAGTCTAAATCTATAAATTTATTTTTAAAAAGTAATACCTAATTAAATTGAATAACTGCTGGCAATCTTGCCACATAGTGGCTTCTTGTTAAGGCGTAGCTTCACCATCGTGTGGTCACACCATCTTGTGTGACTCACCCCTTCATAACAGGGTACGTGTCACCCCGCTACACTTTGGATATTTATTTCGTTTACGCTATCAAATGTTGCAGCGAATCCTCGCATGATGCCGGTCCTCAAGACTGATACTCTCAAAGCTATTCTCTGTCTGTAAATGTGTGAGCGGTTTCCATTAGAACGGTCGCAGCCGTTCTGGCCAAATCACTCCGAAATATGACTTATCTCATTATTGATCTCACGCGTCGACTCTATCAGAGAGAATGAGGTGCGCTTACAGCCGGGAAGATGACAGGAGAAAGTCACGAGAGAAACGACTCTTTCGGTACTGCTCTATGAGTAGAAGGTGGCTCACTTTGAGACGGAGCGATTAATGCATCGGTGTCAGTACACCAGTGAAGTTTCCAGTGACTAGTCAACAGAGAGTTTTAGACTCACTCAGAACCTTCATGAGAGATTATTGTTCGACTACGGCAAGTTAATCTGTTTTGGATGTCGCTAATGACCTAGATCACCCATGGCAACTATTTAGTCTATGAAAAGGCAGGGCTTCTGGGCGCGCTAGAAAGTAGCATGTGGAGCCCGACGTTTTGCAAGTTTGACACTTGGTCGGTACCTGTAACATCCGTGTTACAGCGACGAAAAGTTCTGTTTATTGCATTGAGGTGATAGGTTTTTCCCCTGACAACGGAGTCGTGATGTGTAGATAGCAAAGTCAAGCATTTAATCGACACTCTAACGGGATGTTCATATCGCTGAAGCTGGTGTACAAAGCTTAAAGACGGGTGAGACGACGCGTTTTGCTCACCTAGCGCATGAACTGGGTACCATATTCCGCACTCACGCCAATTTTCAGTACCCACCGTTTTGTTGAGGGTAAGGGGTATGCCGACTGCTGCTGCTCTAAAAAAATTAGTACGTCTGAGAAGTTATGGCTTCTGGGGCTGGTACTAGTCTCACTCGCGATTTAAGTAGAAGGTCTAAAAGCATAAGCGTGTAAGGGCTCCGCCCTTTTGTGGCGACCGATTTCAGATGGTTTGAGACCGTAAGTACAACATTACGATTCAAACAAGTGTCGTTGCGACTATTGCGCTTGCAAACGGCTTCGATAGGCGCCTTTAACTTAATCCAGCTCATTATTCACTAGCTATACATCAGAACTTCATGTGTCTCGCGGCGAGTGCGGCAACACCTCCCGCCCCATAGAACGGGCGTGAAGATCGTAACTCGAGTAGAGAGAAGGTGGAGCACCGCATATAACGTCACCCCTCTTCGTTCAACAGCTTGGTCGTATGACACCAGGGAAAAACGGTAGTAGAGATCAGGACTCGGACAATTCCTGCGACTGATCGCGTCAAAGAAAAGTGTAGCTTCATTGAAGCTTAGCGACAAGGGTATCAGCCGCAAAAAATTTTCCCTTGTCGAGTAATCGCCGAGCCATGTGATCTGATAATTTGAAAAGAGCATTCGATTCATATGCTCTTTGGAGCAGACATTTCCGCCGCAGTGACATTTAAGTGTTCACTTTTGCGCAATGTATCAAAAGGACGGAAGAAGTTTAGTCCCCATATGGACCAGTTCTGTGTGTTTGGAGAAATTTAAAAAGTTCAGCAAAACCGGAGGATTGCTACTCGTGAAGATGTTGCTTCTCCTGTGGAAGAGTCACGTCAAACAATAAAGATATTGGACATGATAATACACATTTAGTCAGAATCTAAAGTCACTCTTAAAAATATCAGAGCAAACTAAATACATAGTCACTTTGGGTTCCCGATTCCACTTCGGAATAAAGCGTAGATTCAGCGTTTGTGCGTTGTATACACAATCTCTTCCAATGTGCGACATGCAAGGCAACTCCACTCACTAAGCATAAGTGGCCTTCTGCGAAAGTCGCCTCCCGGTACGTGTGCCACCAATCGCCAATTTTTTTTTTAAACCAACAGCAGACAAAGCATACTAAGCGTGTCTGATTGTCCAGGTGAAAAATAGTCAAACAAATCGTGTTCCATTCTCAAAGACGATACAGTTCTACGGGAATTGGTTTTTGAACTGATGGCAATCGCTTCTATGTGCAACGGGATCTCCGTGTATCTTGACATAAAGAGTCCGCGTGAGCTTTGGACAGAGGATGGCTTCGTTTACTCCTTCCGGGAGCGGAACTGAGAACCTTTCGAGTGATAAGATACCTACCTGGTTTGATTTTCTATCTAAAGATATATATTCATATATACCCTTTTACTATGTTCATCAATAAAATCAAACGCATTGCACTACGTGAGGCTAACAGCCTCATTTAACCTCCTCATTAGTACAGTACACTTATCATTCGTACCTAATACCAGATTACTTTATTTCAATACATTACCATTGTTCGTACTCGTTGTCAATTCTATTTTTAATCATAATCATGTTTGCCAAGCCTGCGAAAATAAGTGGCAACGTGGTGCTTGGAAAGAAGGAAGTCAAAAAGCTTCACCGCAATATGACTGAATGCATTAGTAGCACATGCAATAGCTCTGATGCTGAAATTTTCAAGTGCTTGCTAGCTTCTAAGGCCGCCGTAAAGAAGATTAGCTTTCAGGCCCCGTCTCGAATTGTCGTGTACGTCTTAGAGGAGACAAAGGAGCCACTGATCTTTGACATATCGGGGAAAAACGACTTCTGCTTCAGTGTCTACGCGTTGTGGCGCTTTCCAAATCTGCTGCTGCCGCTGGTGGTGTACGCTTCTGTGAGCGAGTACATATTACGAGGGGCCGACGTAATGTTGCCCGGTGTTGTGTTTGCGTCTGAAGAGCATATGCAATCGTTACGCAAGGGTGAATTACGAGCTGTCTATGCTCAAGGCAATCCTTGTGCAATTGCAGTGGGTGAAGTGCTTATTGATGCGGCAGAAATGGAACGAAGTGGCAAGAAGGGCCGAGCACTGAAGCTCTGGCACGTAGTGGGGGATCAGTTGTGGAATATAGGGCCACAAACGCTACCGAATCGCGGATTTGAAGCAAATAAAGTATCGCCTTTTGGAGATGGAGAGAAAGATCCCGGTGTGACACTGGAAATGGTGACGCTGGAAGAATATAAGGAAGTGAAGAGTGAACAGGAAATCACGAAGCAACAAATGGACAGTCACTATGTAGGAGCACTTTTGCAGGCGCTTAAGACGGCTAAGATTCGAGAAAATGACTTGCCCATACTGGTCAGCTCCTTCCATGCCAATGTATTGCTGCCATGTCGACGAGCCGGGGCATCGCTAAACATCAAACGCTCCTCTTTTAAGCAACTTTCGGTATTTCTGAAGGCTATGGAGGCTCATGGATTGGTTGAAGTTGCTGATAATGATGGGATACAAACGATCACAAACATTGACAGACGCCACCCGTACGTATCCTATATGACTGTGTTTGTTCGGCGAATCTGAGGGTAATAGCCACTTACCACTCTATACCGTCTGCTTGGTTAGAGATGTGATATCACACGATCCTTATCATACTGACGAACAAGCGCAGTTGGAAGAGCAGGCCACTATTGATAGAAGTGCTGGACTGTCTAATTACGTCTCTGGTCGATACGCTCCTGACGTGGAGGAAAGAATTGGCTTATCCCCTTCACTTAAGGCTCTCATATCGTCAAGTTTGGGTGATGTTTCTTTCACTGGTCAGCCATTGCAAAAGTACTGGTCGTCTACCGAAATTCGGGATCTTGTCACTCAGTACGTTGAAAATTGTGGACTGATAGATTCTGAAAACAAGAAGTACGTGCGCCTGAACGGTCCTCTTACAGATGCGCTTTACGGGAATAAAGCACCCGTAAATGGCTATCCAGACCGAATTGCTCGACCAGAAATGCTAAGCTTACTGGTATCCAAATGCTCACACTATCACCGAATTAAACTCTTTCCAACCCATGCTGCTAAGTTTCATGGTGGCAAGTTGCGACCGATTACGATTCACGTGGAGAAGCTTAAGCGCCGAAGTAACATCACAGTTACTTACGTTGCCCATTACCAGCAATTTGGAATTGATGGTGCAACGTTAGCTAAGGAAGCACAAAAAAAGTGGGGCTGCAGTGCCGCTTTGCATATTTCCGAGGACAAAAGTAAGGGTGAGGAGATCGAGATACATGGACACATGGCTAATGAGGTGATGGAGTATCTGGTCACCAAGTACCTTATTAATGCCAAGTACTGTACCATAACTTATGGCAAGAATTTGAAGGCGAAGAAAAAAAAGTAAAACCAACGTTTCAGATTTATGTCTTACAACTTTCTACGTGATTTTCTAGGATGAGAAAAAGACATTTTCTATTAGGGGTGATGAAGCAGTTGCTGGCGCTTCTTTTTTTTTTTATTTCGAGAAGGGGGGACACTTGTGGATTGTCCACTTATGGCATTCGCGTTACTTGTTGAAGGTGTCGCAATATTGTTAGTAGGAGTGGCTGACTTACCTTTGTATTGGTTGGGTAACGTATTCGTTAATTTCCTTCTCTTGCACTGCTCGTTTTTGTGACGTTGCGCTTCAAAAGGATGACGAAGCATTTTGTGGTATATGATTAGCGCCAGAACGCACGCAGGCGTAAGATAGAATGACATGTAGGCTCGGTGCAAGCCGTACGTTGCTTGGATCACTGCGCACATCTGGAACATCATGGGTACAAGAGCATGCAGGGCCAACTCCGTTCTATTTTCTTTTAAAAACAAATCATACTTGGCAGCCTCCTGATAGTTTCCAATTCCACCTCCACAAAACCGGCAAGATCGCTTGCAAAAGTCACAGAAATCTCTTGAATTTTTAAACCGATAGACGCAATCACAAGCGACAACACGGAACGTTGGACCCACGTAAATCACCTCACTCGTTTTACCTGCCACAACCCGTTGAGTCGTTCGGTCAGTGAACTCCACAAGGATAGATCCGGGGCCTCCGTCCTCAAAAATACACTTCGGGCAGTTCTCAGCCGTGATCTTAACACTGCTGACCGAGTTACTGAGCGACTTCTCGTACACAGACGCAGCATCTTGACCTGAAGAGGCTCCAAAGAAAGCGGTTGGAGGAAGTGGAACCATACAATCAAGTGATAGACTGATAAGATACGTGAGCATGTTCAAAATCACAACATACGTTCCACCCTCCATCAGCAAATCATTAGAAAGGTCCGCTATCGGGGATCGAATAACACCAAAAAAGTACGTCACTTTTCCGGTCCATGGAAGTACAGATAATAACAGCACAGCGAGGAGCGAGTTTTGCATATGTTGCTGGTCCAAGGTTGCATTGTAATTTCCACCCAATGTTAGCAAGTATAGAACAAAGACGACAAATGAAGCCAGCACGAGTAATACGAGCACTCTCGAGAATTCAAGAGATAAGATCAATTGACCCACAAGTTGCACAACGAGGTGAATAATGGAAATGATCATCCAACGGCGAACTTTGAATCGATCAGTGATGTTGCTCAACTTCGATACGACAGGTACTATGATGCAATGTTGCAGAAGCAACATGAACTTCGTGAGCACGTACAACAGCCCTATAGCGTATGCGTACAATAAAACAATCTCGACAACAGTTGTTGCAGCAGCCACAAAGTTAATGATCATTTGGTTCAGCGAAATCTTGCCATAGCTAAAGTAAACCGCAGCAACTGCTGTACCTAAAGTAAGAGCTGCACCAATTATTGTTGATTTCCCAGCCTTAAAACCATAGATAGCGTTTGCGACGTTTACCAAGAATATTGGAGCATGTGCTGCAGGGTGCAGCATCGATAAAAATGATGGGAATTTTTCGTGGCTGAGGTGTTGAAGCAGTGAATTTGACTGCCGATCAAAACAACTCTGCCACTTTGTCATTTGTGCGTAAGAAATCTGCAGAGTTATTGCGTACATGATCACAAGTACCGTCCATATATTCATGCGCATCAAACTAGTCAAGAATTGCGGGAGTAGTAGCGTATATGTAGCGTATTCGCCAGGATAATAGCCATTTCGCACGTGCACGCGGTGTATGGAATCGTTAGCTCCTGATCCTTCTTCTTCATTCTTTTCACCAAATATTGCGTTCTTCGCGACCTCAAGTCGATAGCTAGGGTCGCTCACAAGTCCTCGGGTCTTAAGATCAACCGCATTGTACAAACTCTCAGCTACAACTTTCAGCAACTGATGACACCAAAGCAAGCAGAAATGATCGACCGAAGTCTGGACCGTCGGGATCGCAGATGCTAGTGCAACAAAAGCCCCCGAAGAATCTGCCACTGTATCCACACTTGTCAGCGACGTCTGCACGAGAATATCTTTATGCCCGCCAGCAATCGACACATACACCGCATCGTCATCATTGCCCTTATTTAAGCGCATTCTGTCGTAGATTACGCTCATTTCGGTATCGAATGGGAACGACGGATTGTCAAAAGGCACTCCAAGAGCGACAACATGTTGAATCGATCCCTTCTTGTAATTGGGCAATAATGCTGCTGTACGAACCACGATGCCACCCATAGAGTGGGCGACAATGACCACACTGTGTGGAATAACAGAGTCCCTGTTCTTCTTATTCTGCCTCTTATACTCCTTCAGAATTGACCTTACCACAGCGTTGAGATACATAGCTTGGTCAGTGACATAATTGCCGTTAAGACCAGTCGGTTCCTCGTTCAGGTCGAGTGCAAACAGATCAAAAAGAGATTCGTTTGTGTCCCAAAGGTGCCGCGACAGCGAGCGTGCCTGCTTATAGCTTCCCATGTGACCAGGCACAAAAAGAACAGGGACACCCAGAAGTGAATTTCGTGCGGATTTCATGTCGACGCGGAAAAGGTGGTATTTGGCGTGTGACGGAGCCGAACGCCATGAAACAAGTGAGTAGACGGGCCAAGACCAAGTCATCTCGCACGCAGACTCATAGTTTCTTGTAGAAATTATATCGATGATGTATAAACCTGTCAATAACGCGCTTAAGAGTGCCAGCAGAGGCAGGAGCAGCCGCTGTGCAGCCATTATTGTCCGCAAACTATATCAAAGGGGCACTAACAACGATACAATTGAAATTTAATTCCGCAAATTAAGGACGCTATAATTTATCACAAAATGAACAAAAAATCCTAAATTTGAGGGATGGTGTATGTACACCATAACAGGAGTAGTATGACGACATATCTTTCTTTGTGTCATGCTACGGTTCTAATTCTGGTATACTGAATAAGAAAAAATCTCATCGGTACTCCTTAAGGAGAAGGCAAATCCTGGCTTTACTATGCGTTTAGCAAAGCAGATTCTATATATAAATGCTGTGCGGATGTACCTTTCCCCTGTTTGGATGGTGTGCGCCACGTATGGCATCACAACACATTCTTTCAAGATTCACGATACTAAATACAACATCCAATACAGATGCTTCGTATCCAATATTTAATAATTGATACAGGATATTATACACACTGCTTGAGCGTTAAAAATATCATCGAAGTTTTCCTGTTTCACACTAGATAGTAGATGATTATATTACTAGATACTTTTTCTGTTCCCATTTTCGTCGACGCTCCAATATCCATGATGTCAGTGATTAAAATGTATAGATACGTAACAAGAATTGTGATCTTGAAACTAAGTGCCGTTAGTATTTGCGTTGTCTTGCGGGTGGTTGACTATGGACTTTGTGACTAGACTTTTGGACTTTGTTGAGCAAGCCTCACAAATTGCAATTTCATTCGGGTACCTCAGCTCCAAAATTGGTTCTAGAGCCAATTCACTGTACGGTAAATAACTTCTGCGCTGGTTTGGCAAATCATTTCAATCATGACCCTGGGCTGCTACACAATCAAGTCAGGACCTTGATAACAGCACTTAGCAAAAAAAGAGTGTGGCAGTTGAGGTCGCTTTCTACGTGATGTAAAATTAGCTCATGGAGTCGATGACACTGATGTGCTAAACGAACAACCAACCATTTCTGATGGCTTGAATGACGTAGATGTCGTTCGCACCATCACGATAAGGCAACTGAGGGGATCAGTCAAGACTGCCAATTGCAAATCTGTTTTGACGAAAGGGGGATTCTCCTCAAGTGACCTAGCTTGAAGTAATCTGGCCACTATATAAACTGGTACTCAAAGCGGGACTCATGGCCAGCAGAAGGAACCAATGGTCTAGCAATGGTTGGGTATTCGCGAAAATTATTTCTGTCCATATTTTAATTTGGTAAGTTGATGAAACAGCATTGCTCATTTGATAAAAATGTGTCAACAACTGGTGTTTTTGGTTATTTCGCGTGTACGACTTGTATTGATAGGTCTTTTGATCGAGCGTAGATTATTGTACAGACGAAAGAGAATCTTTGTAAAACGGTTATAGACTTACAATAAGTATGCTCTTGTATACTATCGTATTGATATCTACCTATTGGTTTAGTATTCAATTCTTGCTGTCGAATACATATTTGTATTCTGGTGTGTTTTGTATCAAATATGTATTATCTGGGAAATGTACGTCGTGAATCTATAGGACACGATCGAATGCAGCAAGGCATTGAACAGTTTGTTTGGCCTGTTGTTGCAACACATCAACACCATCTTTAACTGCACTTCGGATAGCTGCAAGGTCACTATAACAGATTCAAGATCTATTGCTAATGGGTATCACTTCATTTGACGTACATCGCCTCGTTGGCAATGCGTACAGCTTACTGACAGCGAAATGCTCAGGTAGGTCTGCAGTAAAATTCTAGTTCGGTTATCCTCATAGACATGAAACTTTGAAATGATATTAATAACATCTAAAATACATTATTATCAGTGAAAGTAAATTTTGATACCAGAAAGTAGACAATATATCAGATCGTGAAACTCAAAAGCAACGTTTAGCCAGCCATCTAAGTTTAGAAGTGTCTGTATTAGGGAATTTAACACGACATCGACTACTCTACTTGACCTCGTCTAAGATCTGGTCTTGATACGTAACAATTGCTAAAATACAATTGACAAAGTCTTGCGAGGTCTTGGGTTGTACCTTGATCTTTGCACTTCGAT